TTTTCCATCCACTTCGCGTTTCATCTGAAGAAAAATGCTGCTGAAGCCACTGAAATGATCTGTGTTGCATATGGAGAGAACGCTGTAAGTTATGCTACGTGTAAAAGGTGGTATCAAAAATTTCGCCAAGGAGATTTCAGTCTTGAAGATGAACCGCGTGCTGGACGCCCTCAAAAGATTGAAACGGACGAACTGCAAGCATTGTTGGATATAAACTCTGCACAAACTGAAAAGGAGCTTGCAGAGCAACTTGGCGTTACGCGACAAGCCATTTCCACACGTTTACATGCAATGGGAAAAGTTCAAAAGGAAGGCAGATGGGTTCCGCATGCACTGTCCGAAGACAACAAAAATCGACGGCGTGACACGGCACTCACTTTGCTTTCAAGGTTCTGGAAAAAGGATTTTCTGCACCAAATCATTACAGGTGATGAAAAGTGGATAATTTATGATAATTCGAAGCGTAAAAAATCATGGGTTGACCCTGGTCAATCTTCGACATCGACGCCAAAGACCAATATCCACGCCAAGAAGGTTTTGCTTTGCATATAGTGGGATTGGAAAGGTGTATTCTATTACAAGTTGTTACAGCCGGGTGAAACAGTAACGGCAGATCGCTATCAGCAACAATTGAGCAATTTGAGCGATGCGTTTGAAGAAAAGAGGCCATTTACTGGCAAAGGACGTCGTAAAGTGATACTGCTTCATGACAATGCCAATATACAATGCCATGACAATATACTCTTCTTCCCCTCGCCGTGTGACAGCAACAGTTGCTAGAACAATTAAGTCACGCTAGAAAATAGTTGAAAGAGAATTAAGTCACGCAAGAAAATAGTTTCTTTTCTCTATGCGCGCTCATTCACGCGACTTTTATAATTAATAACTTGATAATTATTGCGAATATCACAAAACAATACTCGACACGAGACTTTATGTCGTCTTAACTTTGTTCGTCTTAATCTGTCCTACATTCTGACGAAATTGTGGCACAATTATTCTGGGACACCCTGTAATGTAATAAAATGTATTCCTTTCAAAATTGTTCAAAATGTACTTAAAGAGTTGGCTCTGAATATTCCGTGCTGCTCAATAACTAACTACAAAGGTCTAAATATTATTGCAATGAAAATTTATTCATAATCCGCATATAATATATACTTTATTCGTCATTTTGTGAGGAAATTATTCGAATGTGAGTTTATTATTAATCAAATTCTTACGTAAATTTTCAGTTCTCTTTGCTATATGCATAATGATGTTTTTAATCGTTATCAATTAATTATGTGACGTTCCTCCTTATTGTAAGGCAAGATAAAAATTCCTGAAATACTTTTCTCTTTACTAGATAAGTAAAATGACAGTGAAATATTTAAATTTAAAGTAAAGTTACGATTGGTCCAATGTAAAACATTAATCTGTACATGTAATATATTACACTTAAGCCGAAAATAAGTGACGCGTCTGATGTTTTAAGTGCATCTTCATTTTGTAATAACTTCTCTCCACTTTTGCAAAATCAATGTTTTATAATCACAACCAAGTCATGTAAACTATGCATACAACGTTAAATTGCTCACTAATTTGCATATAATGCATATAAGTCACTCTACTACTATGTACTCTAATGTATGTGTCAAAATAACTTGGTTTTGCAGTATATAGCTTCGATACAAAATAGTCTACTATCTACTATCAATAGTCTCTCACAAAGCATGTGAAGATTATTATAATTATGGATGTATTATTATAGATGTGCTAGCCATTATGATAATTAACAAGTAGAGAATAAACTTTATACGTCGATAAAATTTCGAAATTATTAATATTATTATTACCTTACGACAATGTGAATACTTAGCTTACATTTTAACACATACATTTTTCGATTGACGATGGCAGAAAGTAAGGAGCGAATATAATAATCTAATAGTTAGCTACATCTTGTAAACACAAAATGCACGAATCATAAGCATCTGATATCGCAATTGTATGTGATTATAAAGCGAAATAAAACAATTTGTAAATAAGTTTTGATGGGATTTTTCTCAATCTTTTATAACGTTGTTTTGTAGTTTCAACGTTGAACATTTATAAAAATTTAACCAGAACATAATCAAGTATAGCCAGAAATTGAACCTGCCATCGAGAGAATATTAAAGTTCACAATCGAAATGCATTAGAAAATCGTGGAACATTTTTGTCTTCTCGTATGTGGATTATAAATAATGCAATAAGCGTTACGAAACATATTCACGAAGGAAGTGAATGAGAATTGATTTGTCGCAAAAACATATTGTATGTTCTTGAAATAACCGAAGAGGAAAAAACCGTCTATGAGGAAAAGGTAGAACAAATACTGAATAAAACATGAAGGTTACATTTCCTACGTAACATTTTGACAGGGTTGGGAAAGTTATTTTTTAAAAGTAACTCGTTACCGTTACCATTACTTTCGGTAAAAAGTAACTCGTTACCGTTACTCGTTACTGATCTTCTAAAAAATAACGTGTTACCGTTACTTGAAAGTAATGATATTTTATTTCGTTACTTTCCGTTACTTTTTTTTGTTGTAAATCCAGGATTATAAGAAAGATGCTAAGACAAGATATAAATCGGACATAAGACGATTAGAAATATATATATATATATTTTTATTATTTTATGTTATTTAGTATTGTACTTAATGAAAAGTTTCTTAATTAATGGATATGAATTTAATATTTGGACATTAGTGCCTGTTGACTTTAAAAATCTTTGCCATTCATCATAGGCAGATTTCTCATTTGATGTTTGCTATTTAAAATTAAAGAAGTCATCGTTATTATTGTGCTTATCAGACATCAAAAAATTTTTAATTGAAGAAATTCCTTATAAATCTTCTAAATACGTTTGCGCAAGTTTTCACTTATCTTCAGCTAACCAACTCAATTTGGGATGCAAACAGCTGGCAATTATCAATTCTTCTTTTTCGAGTGTAGTACAAAACCTAAAGTTAAATCAAAAAAATTAAATATGAACATATTGATTTTTCTTTTTGACCAGATGAATGTTGTTTAATGAACATATGTATTAACCAAATTACACCAACTTACCTTTCTTTTAAACCTTTCTGTATAACTACGGCCAATGGATGACAATATGTGAGACCATCTTTATTGGTTCTCATTAAATCCAGCATAAAACAAAAAATGCATAGAAATTAAATACAATTAAGTTTAATTTTATAAAAATTAAAAAGTAACGATTAAAGTAACGGACGTTTTGTTACTCGTTACAAAAAAAATGTATCGCCGTTATTTTTTCGTTATTGACACCAAAAAGTAACGGCGTTACCTAATCGTTATTCAAAAAAGTAACGAGACCAGTAACGGCGTTACAAGTAACGCATTACTTCCCTGCATTTTGATACATTAATAATATAATTATTATGGTCATAACGAATCTATTACCATTGTAATAATTGCGAACGCTAAAGACAATTGTGAAAGAATATCAACGAAGCAAAAAGAAGAAGAACTGTATTAGAATTTATTGCTGTTAAAATAAATCATTATGTTAAAGGTATGTAAAGTTGTAGAGCAACATTTCTAAACTGACTTTTGTTCGACAGAGATCTTTAGAATACAAAATTTATTTCAACAATGTATTTATTATGAATAAATTTCTTATGAATAATATTGCATTGAATATTTTCGTAATAAATGAGAATATCTTACACAAAATAAAAAAGAAGCAACGTAATTCGATTCTTAAAAAAGCTTATCTTAATTTGTATCTACAACATCTTAAGTATGGTCGTTTACTACATATAATACTTGTTTAATATTGCGTGATAACGATTTTATTATATTAGAATGTTAGAACATTACTGGATAGGTATTTTAGAAACAAATATATAATATAACCATTGAAATATTATACCTCATCACTTCGTAATAGAATACGCCAGCTGGTATTAATGTTTCATTTTGCATAAGGTATGCCACAAGTTGTTTTATTCTTGCTTTTACAACATCAGCGATCATTATATAAAAATGCAAATCAGGTATCAACGATAGGTCAATGATAAATATACGATACCAATATATACAAGATGTGCAAATAGTTCCTGAACATTATAATATTTCAGAAAATGTAAGTTTTACAAAAAAAAATATTTTAGACAAAAGCTATAGATTTTAAAGAGGTTTATTTACTGATTTTATTAGTTTATGATCTTAAGTAATGTCACTAAAAATAGAACAAGATCACTTTGAATTGTTTTTGTTGGCGGTAATATCGGTTATGCAACCCGCAATTCGAGTACACGAAAGCGAACACCTGGCGGCGCTCCAGTAGCGTACTGTTGACTGTGTGTGAACAGCTGTGCGGAAGTATACGCGATAATGTATTCTTATACGACTGGGTAAAGTTAACAAATACGAGAACTATGTCTACGCGTATGTACTCTATATTACTGCCTTCGCCTAATTCCTGTCCAACAGTTCTTATATAGAATTTTATATAGGATTTTATTATGTAGGATTTTATGTAGGATTTTTTATGTAGGATTTTTATATAGAAGCTTTTTATATAAGATTTATATATTTTATCACATATCTAGCTCTATTTGAGATCCTTTATCAAAGCATTACATTTTATTCGCTTTTAGTTAGTTTCGAAGTTAGTATCAAATTATTTTATATATTCGAGTAAATAAGCTATTGGTGACACTAATTTTACTTAAGATAAAATAAACGAGGACATCACACTATTATATTATGCTTATAGAAAAATGGTAAGTAAATGGTAAGTAAAATATAGCGGATTTCCATAAACAAAGTAAAAGATAGAGTCGCATTGAAAATATTCAAGATGACTCTGATGTAACAACACCATTCAAAGTCAAATTCCATAAAAATTACACTTTTCGAGATATTTTATTGTCCTGAAAGTTTTAGCACACCCTGTATAGTCTACATGTAAAGTAGGTTGCTTATAAATACGAGAATACATCTCCAATTGAACATAGTCTACTACAAGGAGCCTCTACAGCTGCATCAAATATTTTTTTACAGGCGTTTTCATAAAATTCAAAATGAAGTCTTTGATTATTATCGTGTCTGTATTAACTGTTATGGTAAGTAAAAAACAATAAATGAATCTCTTTTTAAACTCACAAAATACTTCGTGATGTTTTGGTGTTATTCATATTCTTTTTTTAATACATATTTTACTCGCATTTTATTTTATATACTTTATACTCCACTTGTTGTTTAATTTACATTTCATACAATAGTACTCAAAGGATATGACATTAGGTGCACTGTTAATATTATCCGTAAAAAACTTACCTTATTTAAAATAAGGTTAAATAAAGCACCAAGTGCATGCGACTTGTATAAATAACCTTTTTTTAAAAAGATTCAACAAAAAGAGTATTTTCTACAAAATATCTGATATGAAATAAGTTAAGCCAAGTGCTAATATATATATATATATATATATAATTAAAAATATATTTAATTTTACCTTTTTTAAAAATAAAATAAAATATTCTAAAAGATATTAAAAAATTATTCTTAAAATTTAATTATATTTTTATATAATTTAATTTAATAATTCTAAAAAACAAAAATATATTATAATAAATAAATCCAAAAAAAATAATAATAATTAAAAAATATTATATTTATAAAATAACAAATAATGAAAATATAAATATAATAAAAAAATTAATTATAAATTTAAAATATTAAATATACATTTTCGACAATTTTAAAACTTTTTAAATAACAAAAAGTTACAATAGATAATAAAATTGAGAACTACAAGAAAGCACTTGGCGTGCCCGGAAAATAATGTCCAGAACGTTTATTTTCTGGGTGCGCGAAGTGCTTTCTTGTAGTTCTCAATTTTATTATCTATTGTAACTTTTTGTTATTTAAAAAGTTTTAAAATTGTCGAAAATGTATATTTAATATTTTAAATTTATAATTAATTTTTTTATTATATTTATATTTTCATTATTTGTTATTTTATAAATATAATATTTTTTAATTAATATTATTTTTTTGGATTTATTTATTATAATATATTTTTGTTTTTTTAGAATTATTAAATTAAATTATATAAAAATATAATTAAATTTTAAGAATAATTTTTTAATATCTTTTAGAATATTTTATTTTATTTTTAAAAAAGGTAAAATTAAATTTTTAATTATATATATATATATATATATATATATATATATATTAGGTGTAGTAAAAAGAAATCCATTATTTTTGCATGAAATTGAAGGCTTTAATTACCATAGTTAGAATGATCCGATTTAGGTCAAATATGCGCCGTTTTGTTCGATAACTTGTTGCCATTTTGAAGGTAATTTCATTATGCCTCTCTCATAGAAGCCCTCGTCCCTATTGGCAAAAAATTGAGACAGTCGATTTTCACAAGCCTCTCTTGAAGCGAATTTTTCACCAGCAAAATTGTTCGCCATGGACAGGAACAGATGGTAATCACTTGGTGCCAGGTCCGGACTATAAGGTGGATGCATAAGAACCTCCCAACCAAGCTCCCGGAGCTTCTGGCGAGTCACTATCGATGTGTGTAGCCTGGTGTTGTCCTGATGGAACACAATTCCTCTCCTATTGGCCAAAGCTGGCCGCTTCTGGGCGATTGCTTCCTTCAGACGGTCCAATTGTTGACAGTACAGTTCCGAGTTAAGAGTTTTGCCGTAAGGGAGGAGCTCATAGTAGATAATTCGCTACCAATCCCACCAAACACACAGCAAAACCTTCCTGGCCGTCAATCCTGGCTTGGCCACCGTTTCCGCCGGCTCACCGCGATTCGACCACGACCGTTTTCGCTTGACGTTGTCGTAAGTGATCCACTTTTCATCACCAGTGACCAACCGCTTCAGAAATGGGTCGATTTTGTTGCGATTCAGCAGCGATTCGCAGATGGAAATTCGGTCCATGAGGTTTTTTTTTGTTAACTCGTGTGGCACCCATACATCGAGCTTCTTTTTGTATCCAGCCTTATTCAAATGGTTCCAAACGGTTTTTTGTGCAATCTTTAGCTCTTGGGCAATCGAAACAGTGCTTACATGACGGTCGGACTCGACAATGTCCATGATTTTATCGATATTTTCGACAATTGGCCTTCCAGTGCGTGGTGCATCTTTGACATCGAAATTACCGGAACGGAATCGACGAAACCAAAATTGCGCGTGATTGGCTGTTACAGTATCAGGACCACAAACACTATTCACATTTTCAGCCGCCTGGCTTGCGTTTTCGCCTTTATCGAAGAAAAACTGTAAAATATAGCGTATTTTCTCTTTGCTAGTGTCCATCTTTGACGCGCGCTCAAACAAAACTGAGTCAACTAATCACAAAACTGTCAGAAAAGTTTTTTCAGTACGAAATCTCATCTTTCTAACGTCATCTAGTGGAACCCGATCGGACTTATACAACGCGAGATACAGATAACTAAAGCCATCTATTGGAAAAATAATGGTTTTCTTTTTACTACACCTATATTAGCACTTGGCGCTTTTTTTAACCTTATTTTAAATAAGGTAAGTTTTTTACGGATATCAGTTCTTTTTTTGTGTTCGTATGTAATACAAATGAAATAAATTTTATGTGGGTGTGTATATATATATATACATATATATATGTATATATTATTTATATTTATTAGCAACACGTTTCAAGAAAAGTATATAAATATTTTTAGAGTTTTTTGGCCATTTACTTTTTCTTATTTGCATATCATCAACTTCAATCCAAACATTAGAAGTCCCTTCTCTACATATATTAGTATAATGACCATTATCAGTATCTGAGCCACGATGAAATATACCACTTATTACTTCATAAATCTGTCCAACGATTTTTATTTTAGTTGTTAGAACAGCGCGCAAATTTATTTTAAATGTTTTTTAAAATTTACCATTTTTTAATGAAAACAGTATAATATGTATTATAATTATGTTTTTGGATAATATTAATTCATTTTTAATTATTATGTCATTTCTTGCACACTGTTCACATAATTTATTAAATGCTTTATGCCAATGTGAGAACGTAATATTTATCAAATCCTGAAGGTTATAACTTTTTTCTTTTAAATCGTTAATAGGAATTGAAATAATAATATTATTTTTTGTATTAAATTTAGTATTATTACACCATTTGCATCGACTTATAGTATTTACTTTGTATTCTATTATATTCCTTATATGATCATAGTTTGTGCAAAGAGCTGTAAGAAATTCTATTGCATCATGTTTTACATTATTAGAAAAATACTCTCCTAAAGACTGCCGTATTGCATATGTATCTAATTTATTTATTAAACCATGTTCATATTGATATGCTAATTTATCTAAAACATTTAAAGGCTAAGAATTAAATAATTGCTTTCTAATATCCTCTGTATGTAATATACATTATAATACTGTATTTGCATAACACGAAACTTTATCTGTATTTTGAAAACCACGTATAACCCTATCATTAATATATGGAGTTTGATATGGTTCTTGAACAGAAGAAACCGTTTTTTACAATATCCAAATAACATATTTTACTTTATGATAACGTCTTTTTGGTATAGTAATTTGTTTTGTGTCTTCCTTATATATTTGTTTTAAACGATTGTACTCAATAATTACTTCTTCATTTGTTTTTACTGATGAGGGATCAAAATTATTTAAATGCCCTCCTTCTTTAGATGTTACTCGCGATAGTGCAACATAAATTTGACCACAATTAATTATTAAAAATTAATTTTCTATTTTATAAGAAAGTTTATTTTATAAAAATTTATAAAAAAATAAATTTTTACACGTGAAAAAATAGGTTTCAAACACTGTGTGTGTGCGTGCGTGCGTGCGTATGTGTGTGTATGCGCGCGCGCGCGCATGTGTGTGTGGGGGGGGGCGCGCGCGCGTGCGTGCATGCTTGCGTGTGTCAACTTGACATTGATGAGTGTATGTATGTGTGTGTGTGCGTGCCTGTAAATATGGAAATTAATAAATTACACACACACACACACATGTGTATATATATATATATATATATATATATAGTTTGAGATAATAAAATTAAAACATATGTATAAGAAAGATATATATATATATATTGTTAAATTAATAAAATAATCATATATATATTGTTAAATCAATAAATAACATATATATTGTGTTGTTAAGGAACATCCGACGACGGATTTTCTTAATATGAAATTTACACTTTTCATCTTTGACTACAAATAACTCAGTAATGAAAGCATTTAGGGCAAAAATAAATTTTATTTCCGTATATTTTATGTAATAAGCTCCTGTTGATTCGATTGCGCCTACTTAGAACTTGATCTGACCAACCGTTACAGAGCTACAGCTATTTGGTTATTTCCTAACTCAAGCTGTCGCGTAAAGTTCGCGCTCATTTGCTCGCTTCGCGCGTACTTGGCGTGAGACACTACCGTGTCTCTTGATATATAAGGTGTATATAATATTAGCGATAAGTTCAAGATTCAGGGTTTAAAGTTCAATATACTCATACACATATCTATCACTAGATACAATAGCCGTTATATAATTATAAATTAGATCATTCTGAATAAAAAGTCCTTTACCATTTTGCAAATAAGTGCGCAGATTTTCAACTTATCAGTTAAAAAAGCCTCTGGATGTGGTTATGTTCAATTATTAATAATTTAACAACTATTACGATTTTTGCAAAATGGTACATGATTTTTCTTCTTAGTTTAGTCTGATTAATCTTCACAATTTTTCCTTTCCAAAAGATCCTGGACACCCTGTATAAGTGAAAAATCTTTCGGTATCAAATCGAAAAATTAATTTTTATACTGTCCAAAGACCATTTTAAAAGTATTATTTCTAAAATTTTATCTATATTATAAATATTGAAAAACTATAAGTTATAAATGAAAACAAAAATGCATTATTCTATATGCAAATTAAAACTATTTGAGTGATAACAAAATTAAGGTTACTTATATACTACCTAACAACTCTTAAATAACAAAGATGCACGAGCTTTATTTAATAAATCGTATTACTCTGAAATTTTTTGTCAAGAACGTAATGGGTTTATGCATAATTCCGTAGCGAAAATCAAATAAATTTCAAACGCAAAATATTTATAACAAGAAAAGCGATTGTAATCAACTAAATATGTTCCATTCCTGTTCAATGACTTTCTGTCATCTCTCCACGATCTTCATTATCCCTCTTTCATAGAAGTCCTGAGATCTTTTGGCAAAGTCATCCAAGTGGGTTTTGAGGTTTTTGAGGACGTCCAGGGAACTGAAGATTTTATGATTCAAATTGTTCTATAGCGGAACAAGTGATAGTCTGAAGGTGCAAGGTCCGGACTATACGGTGGGTGCATCAAAACATCCCATCCAAGCCGCAATAACTTTTGCCTGGTCATCAGAAAAACGTGTGGTCTAGGGTTGTCTTCGTGGAACACAACGCTCTTTCTGTTCGCCAATTTGGGCTGCTTCTGATCGATTGCTCACTTTAATTTGGCCAGTTGTGAGCAGTACTTGGTCGAATCAATCGTTTTGTTAGGTGGCAGCAGCTTATAATAAACGATTTCTTTCTAATCCCACCAGACACAGAGCATGACCTTCTTCGGGTGTAATCCACCCTTTGCGACCGTCTAAGCAGTCTCCCCGCGCTTCGACCATGATCTTTTTCGACTGACATGTTGTAGACTGACTGTTGTAGACAATCCATTTTTCATCGCCCATGATCATCTGCTTTAAAAATGGTTCGTTTTGATGGTGTTTGAGCAGCAAATCACAAGCTGAAATTCGGTCCATTAAATTCTTTTCGCTCAGTTCGTGCGGTACCCAAACATCAAGCTTGTTAACCATCCCAAGCTTCCGTAAATGTCTTGAAACAATTGATTGGTCAATGTTGAGGTTATGTCCGGTCTCTGTAGTCGTAAAATGCCGATCGGAGTCGATTAAAGCCTTGATTTGATCAACATCAGTAGTGACTGGCCGACCAGAGCGAGGAGCACCTTGGAGATTAAAATCTCCGCAACGAAATTTCGCAAACCACTTTCGACACATACTTTCGCTTACGATATTCTCTCCGTACATAACGCATATCTTTTTGTGAATTTGCGACGTGTTATGTTTTTTCGGAAATAAAAAAGCGAAATGCTCCAAAAATACGCGTTTTTTCCTTCCATGTTCAAAATATAATTAAACTTCATACACGTCACGGATCTCGATGAATACTTTCTTAAAATGTCGGCACAAATTTCAGCTTTCATTAATGTACGACATTTCATATGTTTGACACATGTGCGAGCGGAAAACAACTGCGAACGACATCTGTTGGAATTCCACTACGGAATTATGCATAGACCCAATATAATAATTCAACGTGAAGAATTGTACATAAAAAATTCACTCAAGTTATAAATCGATGAATATCGCGATTATATACAGTTATTCAGCAAAATGCAAAAATTTTTATGTTTGAATATGATCAATCCTTACAGACAATGGTTTACAGTTTCAACGCCGACAGGACACGAAAATTTAAAAATGCTGTAGCAGAATGCATCAAGGAATTAGATGGATCGCCACGTGAGTATCAACATTTAGAGCATTCGAAGAAATATAAGAAACAAAATAAGTTTTTATTATTATAATAGTTTAATAATGGGACAATCAACGGGAGACTAGCGTAAGAATCAATGTATCTCCTTTCTTGTCATTTATCTTTCCATGTATTTCACAATCTTTATGTTTGTTTATAAGCTTAACAATAGCGCGTTCCTTAACAATACCTCGCAAAAAGCGAGAATGTCAACCCAACTGATTTATTACCTAATTAACTAGCGTTAATTATATCCATATATATTATTCTAAATAAAAAATTCAGAATTTCTCAATTACGTTATTATATTAGATTGTTTAGGAAGTAATTTCGGTTTTTTGCATGAAAATGAAAGACGATTTTAATGGAAAAAAAATTTTATTCTGTTAAATACTAACTATTTTGTTCTAACACTTTTTGTCATCTTTGAGGTAATAACATGATTCTACGTTCGTAGAACTTCTAATCCTTATTGGCAAAAAACTGAATTAAGTAGTTTTTGACACCTTCATTTAAGTATTACCATCCAAAGAATTTTGCAGTGACCGAAACAAGTGATAATCGGATGATGCTAGATTAGATGAATATAGTGGATGCGGTAACAAATCCTATCCAAGCGCTAGCAACTTCTGGCGAGTCATTAAGCTTGTGTAGGTCTGGCGTTGTCATGATAAAACACAACACCTTTTCTATTCGTCAATTCTGGTTTTTTCTACTTAATGGGACCATTCAATTTGTCTAATTGATATATATATTCGAATCAATCGTTTGGTTGTTTGGTAGCAGCTCAAAAAAATCATCCCTTTCCAATCCCACAAAACAGTGAGCATAACCTTCTTTCGATGGATATCAACTTTCGATGTGTTTTGAGCTGGTTCATCACGTCTGCTCCATGATCTTTTGCATTTAATATTGTTGTATTGTATAATACATAATCCATTTTTCATCTCCAGTTATGAGTCGCTTCAGAAATGAATTGTTTTCCTCACGTTTCAACAGTAAATCGCAGGTGGTAATTCGACGAATCGAATCTTCTTCTTTGAAAATATGTGGAACCTAAATATTGAGAGCTTCGAAACGAAACTAAGTTATTTCAAATGCTCATGCACGGTCGAATTCAATAAATTTAATCTCTCAGCAATTTCTCGTGTTGTTAAATGACGATTTGCGTCCACCAATGTCTTTATTTGGTCTTCATCAGCCTTAACTGGTCTTCCAGAACGTGGTGCATCTTTGAGGTCGAAATTCCCAGAATAAAATTTCGAAAACCAATTCTGACACTGGCGTTCAATCAACGCATTCTCTTTATACACTGCACACCATTTTTTTCTTGCTTGCATTTTTGCTTTTACGGTAATAAAGAAGCAAAATGTGACGAAAATGTTCACGTTGGTTTTTCATCATTGATGCGACGCCAAACAAAAACAATTTGACAGATTCCAAAACAACTTGTTTTTCAAATAAAGCTTGAAATATGTATCGTAAAAATGTAAAATGATTTTCTAATTTAGAATAAAATTAATTGCTTAAAAAGGCAACTAACACCATCTATTTGAAAAAACCGAAATTACTTCCTTAAGTATAAAATAACCCAGTATCTTTATGTATTACGTTACGTTACAGTTGAGCCTACTAAGGAAATAATCTATTGCACGTTGAAGAAAGATGGTCAAGTACGTATCTTAGTATCTAACATATATGGAACAGTATAAGAACTTTAACGTGCAATATAATTATATTAATATTATATGTACTGTTCTAGGTTATTGATAAGAACAATATATATCAAAAGGAAGAAGCCCATAAAGTACTTCGAGATATTTTTTCTGATTCTGCTAACTTAGAAAAGAGTATGAAAATACATGATGAGTGCTTCGACAAAGGTAATCTATTTTATTATCGTTTTGAAAAATAACTTTTGCTCTTATTAAATTTTCTTTTAATTGCAGGAATGCAAGGAAAAGGAACTGACGAGGACAAGGCGAGGAATATTGCCTATTGTACATTGCCGATAATGGTTATGTTCTCCAAACAAGAATAAGAAACACTGCAGATTTTTCTCTAAATGTGATTAATGTTTTATATTTTCTGCAATCTCATTTTTGCACAATCTTAATAATAGATCGTTTGATCTTTTTCTATTGAGGTACATATTTTCGTAACAATATAATAAAAAATGGGATTGTTCTAAGAAACTTTCGACTAAACTAAATATTTATTGAAGAACAACTCTTTCAAAAACCCGTTAAAAAAATTACCGCAATGAAAAGTATTATTCGCTATTTACCTTATATTCGCAATATATTCAAAAACATTTTCGCGAGAAGATATTATTAACACATTTACCGCCTCGTCGATTACCGATGAACGTCTTATGCTTTAAATAATACGTATAACACGTGTTACGTCCTGCGAACTCCGGACAATTAATTATAAATTTTTTTTTCTTTTCTGTCTCTCCTTTCGAACTTCTATTCTCCTAATATAACAATGGACATAGGAAACAGACCCATCTGGCGAACAGCCGTCACGCCAAATGAAAGGCGATTCAGGAAAATTTCATAACAGGAAACAGTGCCCTGTTGTAAAAATGTAGAGTTTATATTTGGGTAGTGTTCGTCAAGTGTGTCCGTCGGCCTAGCTACAAAATTTGAAACTCTGCGCTAACAGATCTCCAGTAGAACAAAGCAACTCGAAACATTCCTGCTCTAATACTTTGAAACCTATATCTCCTTAATCTAAAACCATATGCTGCCTAACAACAAAGCTTAATCGTAAAGTCTGATCTCAGCCTTTAATTTTCGGTATCTTGACTTTTCCAGCTGGCTTGTATACATCTCTTTACCCTACAAGAATCCACCACCATCACACTTGTCGTGCCTAATCCATTCGGCCAATTATAACCTATCCACCCAAAACTATGAGACATCCACGCTCCACTCCTTATCCCATCTATATCCATGTCTTCTAGAACTAATTGTCTTCTCCCACGATGTCTTTTAACTTCGCTCTTAACTTCTAATGGCTAAGACTTTTTCCCACTAAGGTCAACCAGGACCAATACTAAAAATCTACTAATTAAATCTTTGACATCATTGGGCTTTCCTTAGGGCCTCACTCCTTCTCCAAGGGCCATCTCTCTACGCACCTTGGTGGGTCCTACTTCCGATCATCAGTATAAAAACCGCAACATACGCCTCTGCGGGCACTCAGATTCAGACTCAGGTTCAGACTCAGTTTCGCGCTCAATTCCAGATTCAGATATTCAAGTTTCGAATATCCAAGTTTCGTACTCGAGCATTCAGATTCAAATATCCAAGTATTCAGATTCAGACATACAGATTCAGATATTCAGATTTTGATAAAGCGTGACTCAGTTGTAGCAAGTGCACAGTGTTTTCCAAGAATAACTACCTTTACAAGGAGAGTGTCACAACTGTCCCTCATCGATTGAAATGGGCTTCGGATATGTTGTAGAGCATCAAAAACTAAGGAATACATATTTTTTTATATCGGCTTCGGAGCATGTTTAGGGGGGAAACCACCCCTTGAAAAAAATAGCCGTTATCGTTTTTATCAAATATTTTCTAAATTATGAGTCATATGAAAAAAAGTTTCAGACAAAAGTTTTGCAATATTTTATGCTCTTTGCAACCATGTGTTCAGTTTTTCAAAATTTCAAATATTGAACTACTCCCCTCCCTCTCTCCTTACTCTGGCAAAATTTTTAAGTTTTTATAAGGACAAAAATTGTAGAGAATTAAATACCAAATCGATCCATGTATAATATTAGAAAATGGTATTTAATATTTTGGACAAAACGCAATGAGAAAACTTCATGATATATGTGCCGCGCTGCCCGAGTAGATAGATACTATAGGTAGATACGCTGTGATATTTCTCTGCAATTGCACTATGCTTCACGACTGTTTGTGCATATTTTCTTATACTATAATTAATCGTAATGATATGATATTAGTCTCACGATGCTCGATTGTGTTAATGATTTGCTATATGTTAATTTATGAAGTTGTGCACGGAGCTCTGCATGACAACTTTCATGATTTCGACAAAACAATAACACTAACAATTCAAAATCATGAACGATGTCATATAATGTTCCATATGCAACTTCATAAAAGTTAGCGTATAGAAAATTATTAACACAATCGTGAGACCAGTCCTTTACACAAAATAAACATGTGAGCAGAGATAAATCGCATATATACCATGTACAAACAACGTAGCAAATGCGTGTGGGGCACGCTATTTGTACAGGAATTTCAAATGTATATTTTCTGAATTATCTATCCATCATCAAAATATTCGATAGATTATAATGTACCATCCTGTTTACAAACAGAGTTTTCGAGATACATTTTAAGTCTTTCTGCCGTCCGGTACTCGTCACTCGTCCTTGATTTTTGAACGTGGACGCACGCCAATAATAGTCAATGTTTATTATATCTCTTATCGCACGCCAATAATGGTTATTGTTTATTATTGAACCACGTGCTCGATTTCATTGTGATTGTCTGTGTTTGATTCAGTTGGTGAACGATTACTTTGTTGAAGTTGTTTTTCTTGGCGAATCTGCGTTGCTCCTTATTTTTGTTTAACCTACAGGTGAATCACGTTTATTATCGAGGCCATTGGGCGCTGTAGGGTTTTGACTTTTCACACATAATACTTGCAAATAGCGGAGCTTCGGCGTTTACTGTTGGTGAGTAACGTTTATCTAATCATGAAAATACTCAACTTTCGTTGACCGGATTCGCCGACGGAATATTTTATAAATCCTTCATTGTTATAAATAAGGACTCTACACAGACAAGTTCCGAATAACACAAACTTACATATATGCACGATATAATTATAAAATATGTTATCTCCACGATTCCCGAATGAACTATCACACAAATGTCACGAATTATAATTTTTATATTTTACTATTGAAAAAAGTCGAAAAATTACGACTGGAACATACGTATGGATATTTATAGATTTTAACTATGATTATTAAAAATAAATAATTGACGCACGATTAACAGTGTACTAGCTCAATTGTCTTTTTATTCTCGTTTGTTTCCTGAATCACATATTTGTGAAATTTATGTTTATACTGCAATTTTACAGAAAAGTCAAAGTGAATAAAGAAGGGCAAGCGCGTTATGCATGAAGTGCATTGAATATCTTGATAATATAACACAATATTAAAAAATATTAACTAGATATACTAATATGTTTATTGTAAAACATTATTATGTATACGTGTGAATGAATTTTATATTATCGCTTAAATGTTATCAAATATGATTTCACCTATTTAGCGCATAATATAATTTAATAATATATTATAAAATTTAAGATTGACAATTATATATACAATTAGATGCCTATAAAATTTTAACGACAATTATAAAGCGCGTATAACTAAACTAAAAAGTGTTTTATATAATATTAATAAAAATTATTGAATCAATATGTATGAAAACGTATTCGGACATTAATTTGACAGAAATAAATTGCTAACAAAAAAATTATCCCCTAAAATTTGAAACGCAAGCTTCTAGCTTTCAGCTGGCTAGCGTCCAGCTTTTATATTTCGTATTCATTATATAAAATATATATAATATATAAAAAATATATATAATTCATTATATAAAATAAAACAAGCATACGATCAGAAATAATATAACTTAATGTTTTAAGAACATAATGGTATAATCTCATTATATCCAGACATATGTAAGTTTGGATTATGTAATATAAAACGTTAGAGATAATCGGTGTTTGTACAGTAATTTGATTAAAATGACGAGAAAAGATGGTTTAATAACGTTGATGTTCATACGAAAACGAAAAAAGAATTTTGTCATAGTTTAACTTGTGTAAATATACGTAGCAAATTGTAATAGAGATGCGGAGAACGTAGCAAACGCATTAAACAATTTGTAGCATCTTTCAACTAAAAATAATATGACAATTAATAATGGTATGTGATAAGAGATATTTAACAGTAATAATGGCAAAACGTTTTATTGCATGACAGCATCTCCGTAAAAACTTTTCGACCATGCTCCATTATGCCCCGTGGTCTCATTATACCCCAAGTTCCCCTATCATTCGGGAAATTGTTTAAATATAATTAAATAAAATAATATTTAATTTGACATAATTATATATGGTTATATATATAATCTCATATATAAATTATATCATCTTATATATAAATACGTGTAATTATATATGACAATTTATATATAATTTTATATCTTTATGTATAATAATATGCGAACATATTTTATATATAATTATATATAATTATAAATTATGTATAATTATAAGTTGTACATTTATTTATGAGCATTTATAATGCCGTGTATACAAAGCAAAGTTAGAAATATATATAATAACATATTATTCTTCTATAATTTATTGTATTGTTCCTCTCTATCCTATAAATTATTACTCCATAATTTTTGTTAGGCCCTTCGTTATATTTCATTCAGCAATTAATAAAATATATTGTATTGTCACACTACACGCTTGCAGAGGTAACATAACGTCGGCCTAATTAGAAAACCTCTTAATTCCAATTTTTGACAAAATTGAGACTCATTTTATTCGATCGACAAAGTCGACGAGATAAATTGAACAACATGAGTATCTTAATTTTGTCAAAAATTGAAGTTAGGAGATTTTCTAATTAGGCTGATGATAATGTGTTTCATTATTTCACGTGTATTGCATGAAATATTTTTTCAATCATTTTAATTATCCTTAATCGACATACCTTTCAGATACGATATACCTTTCAGTACGTCAGTGACAGAAGGGGACCCGTCGGATTCCTGACCCGTTCTCTGGCACGTGTGTACGGACAAGGTTCGCCTTTCCTGCGAACAAAAAAGTTGCACTCCTCCTCTAGGATGTAACACACGCAATTACCCATATTTATTAAATTATGACGGTATTTAATATTAATTAAGGAATAGCATTAAAGTACATTGATGAGCAAATTATTATTTTTATATATTATATAATGTGACGTGGCAGTCGCGGGGGCATCCGTCACTAGTATGCAAGCCTTCGGTCACGACGCGGGGAGAGGAGCAGAATTCCTCGCGCGGTCAATGGGGAGCTCGAGATGATTCCCCGAAAAATTATAAGCTTTTGAGTAACGGCAATTAGTGTTAAGAGCGCGCAGGTGAGACGGTCTCGCGTCCCACGATTTTGCGCCCCTGGACCTCCCGAACCGACCAGCAGGACTGGAGGAGCAAGAGGAAGTGGAGAACGTCGCTCGTCACCCGTCCATCAGGTGATTGCTCTCGTTTCTCTTTTTGCATTAGAAAATTTTATGTCATCCCGAAAGAGATTATCGCTGCTGTATTTACCAGATCTGTAAATATGAAACCGGAATTTGCCCATAGATGGCAATGTCAATGTAGTCAATGTAGTTACTGTCAAACCGTGTCATTGGCGCCATTTCCATTTGTTGATATCTGACAAAGATTTTCAACTCACAACAATACAAGTTTCATACAACAGCATAGTTTGTAATAACGTTGAACATGTCGAATTTTGTGCCTAGAAGCTACGATTTGCGGACAGCATTGATTTTCTTACCACTTGAAGAAAACTACTGCAGAATCGTATCGAAGCTTACGGTGAGCATGCTCTTGGTAAATCACAGTGCTTTGAGTGGTTTAAAAAATTCAAACGTGGCGATTTTTACATGAGAAACGAAGAACGTGGAAGACCACCGAAAAAGTTTAAAGACAGCGAATTGCAAGCGAATTGTTCGCGCTCAAACGTAACAACAACTCGCGGATCAATTAAATGTGACACGAGAAGCCATCTCCATACGTTTGAAAGCTATGGGAAAGATCCAGAAGATGGGAAAATGGGTTTCACATGAACTGAATGAAAGACAGCAGGAAAACCGAAAAACCACTTGCGAAATGCTGCTCGCCAGGCACAAAAGAAAGTCATTTCTTCATCGAATTGTGACTGGCGATGAAAAGTGGATATATTTTGGGAATCCTAAGCGTAAAAGATCATGGGTAACTCCAGGCGAACCATCGACATCGACTGCAAGGCCAAATCGCTATGGACGGAAGACAATGTTCTGTGTTTGGTGGGATCAGAAGGGTGTGATCTATTATGAGCTGCTAAAACCTGGCGAAACCGTTCATACTGAACGCTACCGACAAATGATTGATTTGAATCAAGCTTTGCGTGAAAAACGACCAGATTATCAAAAAAGGCAACAAGTGATTTTGCTTCATGATAATGCACCATCACACACAGCAAAACTGGTCAAGGAAACGATTGAGGAGTTTAGTTGGGAAATACTTTCGCATGCGGCTTACTCACTAGACTTGGCTCCCTCCGATTACTACTTATTTGCATCGATGGGACACGCACTTGCTGAGCAGCGCTTCACTTCTTACAAAAATGTATGAAAATGGCTCGATGACTGGTTTGCCTCAAAAGAGCAACAGTTTTTTTGGCGTGGCATCCACAAATTGTCAGACAGGTGGGAAAAATGTATAGCTAGCGATGGGCATCGCTCGAATAAAATATTTTTTATCATTTTCATAAAATAAACGTGTATTTTCTATACAAAAATTCCGGTTTCATATTTACATACCTGGTATTGTTAGACAGGCCACTATGACAACACGGAAGGAGACGGAACGAGCGAGGCGGGATACTGTCGAGCATGATCACGACGCGTGGCCCGTTCACCAAAAAACAGCGGCTAGACGGCCCCGGGATAATGCTCGTGGAAAAAAACGAGCTAGACAAAGAGCGAGAGCGAGAGCGAGAGAGAGAGAGAGAGAGAGAGAGAGAGAGAGAGACTTCGTCACGCGGATCGACAACCGCGATTCGCAGAAGGATTTTCGCCGAACGAAACGAGAAGAGAAGAGAACGGAGAGAAAGAGAGGAACCCCTTCTGGAAAAACGGCGAAAAGAAGAGATCAGATTCAGCTTCCGTTTTTCGCTCTCGAAAGAGGCATATTCATTTTCCGCTCTCGAGAGATAAGAATTTTGGTGTTCCGCTCTCGACGAAGAAAAGTTCTGGTGTTCCGCTTGTTCTCGAGAAAATAAGTTTTTGAGTGTTTCGACCGTGCCGAAAAAATAAAAAGGACTATCGTGAGCGACCCGTGGCCTGGAGAATAGCGAGGAGAAATTCGGGTTGCGCTGGCTGCCGTGCACCGAGACCTGTGAGTGAGAGGCGGAAGCGACCCGTACGACGACTAGCCAGGACCACGCCGCCGGGAGATTGCCGAATTTGTAAGACCGTTCACTTGTTTCTTCTTCGTGTTCCGTTTGCGTGTCTCGTCGGAGCATTGAATTGTGTTGCGCAGAGCGGTATCGATCTCGCGGAAAAGAGCGGAGGAAAATTGTATCGTCCCGCTGGGTTTCGGAGCGTGCCGATTCCCGAGATAATAAATTGTGATTTCGATAGTAAGAACGCCGCTCTTTGTCTTTCTTCACGCTTTCCCCATTTTCGGCCTAACTCATCCCATCTACCGACTCAATCTCAAGGAGCTACCGGTCCCGTCGAAATCCCGCGTCGCGGTCGCATCTTTCAGCGGTTAGCGTTGGTGAACGGTGGTGCGGCTGTCCGCAACTGGCGCCCAACATATTTTTTTTGGAGTGAGAGACCATGACGCGTGGGCAGATGGCAATTTGTCGGCGTTAAGAAATTAGCGTCGCAATAAATGTCGCTATTTTTATATGTACACCCATAGTAATCGATTCTGTCCCTTGGAAATTTTCACAAACTGAGTAGTGACTACGTTTCTACACTACTCACAGTCCATGCACGATTAATAAAATAACTAAAACTTACGCTCGCTTATGGAGGATTGAGGCCTGGTCTATAATAGGTGTTGTAAGCTGTAAGCCGTAAGAAGTGGCTAATTATAGTCGATTATTTTTATAATAATTGACTGTGATTCGCCAATTCTTACGGCTTACAATTTACGACACGTATCGTAGACCAAGCCTCAATCCTCCATAAGCGAGCGTAAGTTTTAGTTATTTTATTAATCGTGCATGGACTGTGAGTAGTGTAGAAACGTAGTCACTTCTCAGTTTGTGAAAATTTCCAAGGGACAGAATCGATTACCGTGGGTGTACATATTGTTGTTTAGTTAAAGTGACATACTATACATGCACATAATTACAATAATATGAAAATAACGTTAATAATGTTATAATGTTACAGAGTATACATATTAACAACGTCACATACAAAGCAACCATTGCGACTTTATTTCTTATCTTCGGACTAGATAACCTACAGATTATTTACTGCTTACATAAAAATATTTTAATCGGCAACCATTTTTACATTATTTATATTACGTAAATTACATTACACGTGCGAGAAATATATGTGATATGTGTATGAGGATCAATTCACATATGAGTATCATTTTTTCTTTTTCTATTTTATCTTTATCCTTATAACACTAACATTAACTCGCACTTTGCGATAGGTTGAATGCATCATGGCTAAAAATAGATACATATTATATTATAACAAACTGTACACTTAAGCAATCCGTAATCGTGAATTGCCTATAAAAACACTGATGCAGTTTCGATGTAATGCAGTCTACGTTTAAACTTCTCAGCATTTGATACTTTCTTGGGCGCATTAATAGCATCAAGAATGAAAACTTTTATGATTGTTGTGGGTATATTGGCAATCACGGTAAGTAGCAACGGACGAATAATTTCGTCGGGAATGCACGAAATACTTATAGTCATTTCAGTATTATTAATAATATTATTACTTTACTTTATGATTCGTACACGGCTTATATTTTATCACGTGTGTTTTGTGTTTGTTTTATCCGTTTATTTATTTGTTAATTGTTTGTTTGCTTGTTTGTTAATTTAGGTAAATTTAGGGCATTTTATGTAATAATACTCAAAAAAGTACTACGCGATAATGTTATATTAATATTATACCTTATTACAAAATGTTCCGATGTTAAATCGTAGAGTACATTTCTGAACCTCTTGAATACATTCTAAAAGTCTTGTTGTTAACGCCAGATCTTTTTTATATAAATATAAAACATTTGTAAAATTTATATTTATATCCGCCGAAATACTAAAAAAGCAGGCCTTATTAGTAATCCATGATTATATAATTTTCTCCGTTAGAGATATATACAGGATGAGGAAAAATTACCGGGACCCCGAAATATATCGAAAAATATAATTTTTATGAAAAAACGTTTCAGAAGTTGCAGGGTTGTAGTTTCAAAAGTTGTAGGGTTTCAAGTAATATATTACACAGCAATATCAGTATGACCTTGAATAGCGTTGTCAAAGTCAGGTGAAAGTCATCTTAAATTTCTTAAATGGAACCTCCTATTTTTCATTATATATTTTTGTAGCTTATTTCGAAAGATTTTCTAAACACTATAACTATATGTTTTTTTGTTAAGTATTTTGCGAGTTACAAGATTTAAAAGTTACAGTACCGCCGGCATTAGCATTACCCAAAATGTACTGCATGGAGGTTGCACGCCTGCGTATATTTCGACTTTTTCTTAAAATACACAGTGAAAGGAATATTAAATATTTCGATTTTCGAATTCGAGCAACAGTTAAGAAACAGCATTAGCTGTCGTCACTTGCATTTCATTCAGTCATTATTCTTCAGCATTGTCTTTAGAAAAACTTTGAATTGATCCAAGTATTAATTTATTCGGTTTGACTAATTCTTCCGCTTGTCAATATATTATGTCTTTCAAAGCGAGAACGCATATTTCTCTTGATAATGAAGGGATGGGATGATCGATTAAGGTCGTATAATGATGTAAAGTAGCTTTTTAATGAAACATTTCGTGATCAAAATACTCGCCATTTCAAAATCTACTGTTGAGAGGACAATAAAGCGTTTTGAGGAAACTGATAGCGTGAAAAATCGTAAATAAATATCAGGTAGACCTGCATCAGCAACAAATGCAGAAAAATCATTAGATGTTTTACAATCCCTCATAAAAAATCCGCATGATTCTACCCGCAAAATGGGGTAGCAAAATGATCTAGATAAAAAATCTGTGCTTAAAATATTAAAGCTTAATAAATTTCATCCTTATAAAGCCTACCTCATGCAAGAGCTAAATGATGATGATTTTGATAGGCGCATTGAATTTTGTGAGTTGATAATGGAAAGAATAGATGAAGATCTTAACTATCTGTCAAATATAGTCTTTTCAGACGAAGCAACATTTTAGTTAAATGGCTATGTTAATCGACACAATTGTAGATTCTGGTCAGATACAAATCCTAACTAGATTCAAGAAGCACATACGCAGTATCCACAGAAATTGAATGTATGGGCAGGCATTTTGAATAATGTTCTCATAAGTCCATTCTTTATTGAAGGCAATCTAATAGCGATAAAATATGAGAATATGCTGAAAAATGAAATAGTTCCAGCGATACAAACAATCACGGGTGACGACTTCGAGAATACATGATTTCAGCAAGATGGTGCTGCGCCACATTACGAGGGACGTCCGTAATTATCTAAATACAGTATTTCCTCAGCGATGGATAGGCAGAAGAGGACCTGTAGAATGGCCTCCTTGATCGCCAGATTTGTCACTTCTTGATTGCTTTCTGTGGGGCTATTTAAAAAACAGAGTTTATAAAACGAATCTACAAAATCTGGATGATTTACAAAATCGGATTCTTGATGAAGCTGCTATTATTTCTATTGATTACATTCAAAATGCTATTTCATCTTTTTACGATAGAGTAGCTTTTTATCAAACTGTTGATGGTGGACATTTTAAACAATTGCAATAAACCTTTCCAGTCTTATTTTAGTTGAATGGACAGTCTTATTTTAGTTGACTGGACAGTCTCGCCTTAGTTGGCTGGACAGTCTTGCCTTAGTTGGCTAGACAGTCTCGTTTGAATTGAGTGGATAATTGGCGATCTCGCTTTTCATGAGCTAGATATCTTACCATAAAAAGCTCGATAACTTCGAAATGACTTACTTAAAGTGGGTAAAGTGGGTAAGCTTGAAAAGATCTGAAAAAGTGCTACAAGAATTTATCTTGTAATTCGCAAAATATTTAACGAAAAACCATTAAGTTATAGTGTTTTGGAAAGCCCTCGAGATATGCTACAAGAATTATATGTAATAAAAATAGGGGGTACCATTTAAGAAATTTAAGATGACCTTCATGTGACCTTGACAACGCTATTCAAAGTAATACTGATATTACTAAGTAATGCGTTACTCGAATCCCTACAACTTTTGTCTGAAACATTTTTCCATAAAAATTATATTTTTCGATATATTTCGGAGTCTCGATATCTTTTCCTCACCCTATATAATACTATTGCGTCTGTTACACTCACACGGAAGAAAAAACGAACGCGTAAAAATGACAAGCTTTTAATCAGATTATCTGCAAATTCTGTCACTTGCCATCTACAGTTTTGTAACTTCGCGTTCTTAACCGCTTAACAGTCGGGCAAAAAATAACTTTTCGTGCCAAAAGTGTGTTGGATTTTTTTCTTTCAAAACTACACCCAAATTTCATTATAACGGTTTTTGGGGTTGCTGAATCCAAATATGAAATCAGATTTCTGAAATTCAAAATGGCGGATCTAATATAACGGACTAAAACAAAAAGTTATTTTATTTGAATGGTACCTGACACTCGGAGGTTTTTGAAAATGCCGAACCCGAATCTGATGTCAGATTTTCAAAATTCAAAATGGCGGATCCATTTTGATTCAATATGGCGGACTAAAACGCAGAAACTTATTTTTTTTATATATTTTTTTATTTTAATTATACCCGATCAGATCGCTGAATCCGAATCTTATCAGATTTTTAAAATTCAAAACGCCGAATCGAAAATGGCCGATGAAAATTCGAAAAATCATTGGATTTCTATAAAAATTGGTATCTTGTGGTTTATTGAAGTCACTGAATATAAATCTAAAACCATATTCTGAAAATTCAAAATGGCACATCCATTATGGCACGTAAAACATATAACTAAAAAAAGAAATCTCGAAGCAAAAAAAGGATACAAGGTTTTAAAATAAAGAAAATTAAAATACATAAAACACAAAAAAGTTAATACAAAAAAGTTAGTACAAAAAAACATTAAAAATACAAAATATTAAAAATACAAAAAGAATTTTAAAAAATAAAAATACAAAAAATAAAAAACATTAAAGATACAAAAAATAAAAAACATTAAAAATACAAAAAATATGAGGTAAACGAAAACCGCCACGTCCTCGTTTCATGACTCTGAGTACGGCAGAGAGCGGGATTTAAGATCAGTTGAAAAAAACTCTTATTTTTTATGTATTTCTATTACTTTTTCGAATTTCGGTTTGTATACTGAATGCGCCATCTCGAAATTTTAGAATATCGTATTAGATTTATATTCAGCGACTTCAGTAAACCACAAGATACCAATTTTTATAAATATCCAAATATTTTTCGAATTTTCAACCGCCATATTGAATCCGCCATTTTGAATTTTGAAAATTTGGCATCAGATTCGGATTCGGCGATCTCAAAAACCCCAGAGTATCGAGTATCATTAAAAAAATAACTTTTTGCATTTTGGTCCACCATATTGGAACCGCCAGTTTGAATTTCTAAAATCTGATTTCAGATTCGGATTCAATGACCCCAAAAACATATAAATACCAAAGCACAATCAAATCGTAATAGTATAAATATGTTTTATTTTAAGATTTCGAATTTTTGACCACCATATTGGGTCCGCCATTTTGAATTTTGGAAATCTGATATCAGATTCGGATTCAGTGACCCCAAAAACATATAAATACCAAAGCACAATCAAATTGCAATAGTATAAATATGTTTTTTTGAAGATGCTCATATGTATGTGTCATAAAGCAAAAGTGGCACGAGTTTTATTTACCCATACATGTGTCACTGACAGCTAAGCGGTTAATTGACACACGTCAGCACGTGATGTGTGCAACTCCTGTTTTTCTTCATTATCGTAGGGAACATCCATTTCATCTATCAGACTGCTATCATCTTCTTTGGGATTATCAATCTAACGATCACGTAATTCCATTCGAAAACGTTGGCGCAACAATGTAATTCAACGTTAAGTATATAAATATGAAATATAATAATAAATATGAAGTATAATATATAAATATGAAAAAAATGAATAAATTTTTATACATATAAATTTTTAAACATATAAATAAAAAATCCACTCCTATTATAAACTAACAAATACCACGATTATAGTCGGTTATTGAGCAAATATGAATAAAATTTTATGTTTGGGTATGTTGAATCCTATTAGGCGGTGGTTTACGGTTTCGATCCCAAACGGTTACAAAAGTTTAGAAATAACTTTGAGAACTGCACGACAAAATATCAACACTTATCAACAACGGGTAAGTATAAAAATTTATAAAATTTAAAGGCATATTAATATGAAAAAGAAAATAAATATTTGTTATAACGGAAAAGTTAATACACATAACAAGACAACCAGAAAGAACTAGCACGAGATTAATAATCTCTATATTTTGAACGATCTTTCATGTCTATTTGGAAGCTGCTTTACAGTTCTTTGTTTCTGACAGAAAGAGCGACGGTGTTGTTATAACTGATTGCTTTGCGTTTTAGCATCTAATTAAAATTTAACATCTTTTAATTATATTATAACACATTTTTTGTGTGTTACAGATAATCCCACTGTCCCAGTGCTCAATTGCATGTTGATTGAAGATGGCCGGGTATGTATTACGTATTATACAGGGTGTTCCGTAAGTCGAGGTCAATCGCTCGAGAGATGAATGGGGAACCACAAACAAGAAAAAAAGTTGATACAAACATAGGTCCAAAAATGCGTTGTTTTCGAGTTATCGCTATTTTTATGTTAAAATTTGAAATTGCTTTGTTTTCGAATTTTTTTGGTTTTGGAATTTCGATGGTTTTTATGAGTTTCAAAACACAACTAAAGTCAAATAAAAGTTGCGGGCTGCTTTAGTACTACCCAGGATGCACCGCGTGGAGGTACAGCCTGCTTAGCATCGAAAACATTTTCTCGCATTTTTGGACCTATGTTTGTATCAATTTTCTTTCTTGTTTGTGGTTCCCTATTCATCTCTCGAGCGATTGACCTCGACTTACGGAACACCCAGTATATTATATATTACTAACTGACAATATAACTTTAACATGTGTTGTAACGGAATTATTGTTATCTAATAACTGTACACGTTCACTTTTGAACATTTACATAAAGTCGTTAAAAACGTTTGATTATTGATTTGATCGTCCCCACGTCTTTGAATAATTAATTACGGAATATTTCAGTAATAGTTGAAAACTTTTAATAATCTGTCTATTTTAAATATTAGAACTATACTGCCTATCTATGTACATTCGCATGCACAACAGTTCGGATATTTTTTTCCGCTGACTTTTTAAGATGCCATCAAATGATCAAGGTAACGGCCGCTATTGACGAGGTTATTCAGTGATCGATTAGAACAGACCGAAAGAGAAGTGATAATTTATAAGATAAAAATGAATTTTATTGTGCAAACGTGTCAACATGTTAATGCATTTAAGTATTATCTCTTATTCAACTGTTGTTACAGTAGTGCTAGAAGAATTGAAAAATCTTGTGCTTCAAATGTATAAAATATACAACGTCCGTGACTATATTCATGAACATCTATTCTACCCGAAAAAAAAAATTCAAATCGTTGTGTAAACGAGCGTACATAGACTATTCTGAACTTAATCGATCAAATTGTTTCTCCATCAAGAGGCACACTGTGCCCATTATACGCGAAACTGCGAGTTAAAACGAGGTGAGATATTCATATCTCAGCAATGGCTCAACCGATCAACGTTTTTTAGTCCCAATCGATTCAGCCTTAAAAAATAGGAGGAAAAGTGTCCTAGTTTTTTGTGTACATTGTCTCCAAATATATACATTTTAAGACAAAGTCCAAATTACGGAAAATTACGATTCAGTAAGAAAATATAAGAAAGAAACGCTAGACCGCCGAGGAGAGGGGATTTGTGCATCTCGTTTTTCCGACACCAGAGGCGTTACGAGCGCGTTGAAGAAGCAAAGAGCAGCGAGTGCGAGTGAGCAAGCGATAGAGTAAAAGAGAGAAGAATATTGCTAGAATACAGGAAGTGAAAATGTATGACAAAGAGAAAGAGAGCGAGAGCGAGAGAGAGCGAGAGAGAAAGAGAGAGAGAGGGGGGGGAGAGAGAGAGAGAGAGGGAGGGTGGGAACAGGCGAGAAAAAGAACGGGCGAGAGGGGTGAAAGAGAGAGGCATAAGAAGGTGAGAATGTTGGTATACGTTGGTATGTTATGACGCACTTCATTTGATTGCCGATCAGCTGATTCTGAGCAGACGATGTGATAAGTTATGCTATCGAAAAATCAATACCAGTGTTTATTGACTCGTCGTTCAGGATGATCGTCCTTCAATTATAGGACCGCTTCATACAATTTATAAGTGGTGCAGGTATTACGCGATTTAGCTGGATTAACAAGTAAGTATAAATTAACAACATTTATATAATATTGATGTATGTACGTGACGTATATATAAAATTTTAGAAATTTCAAATTCAAATTATTTTTTTAAGGTATGTATGTGTACATAACATAAGTTTTTACAAGTAAAACTTATAAAAGCACAACATGTATTGTGTTATTGGGAGTACAAATTAGTTCAGTCCGTTTTTTTGTGTTAAAAGATGTACTTATTTCAAAACAAAATGAATGAATAGATCAATTAAAATATTTTCCATCGCTGGCTATTACTTTCTCCCATTTTTCAGGCAATTTTCGAATTCCATCTCGAAAAAATGACTCGTCTTTTGAGGCGATCCAAGTTTGGAGCCAATTTTCGATATCTGCGAAAGAAGTGAACCGGTGGCCTGCCAAATCGTGCTGCATCCTTCAGAACAAGCAATAATCAGAAGGAGCAATGTCCAGAGAATACGGCGGGTGCTGTAAAACATCCCATTTGAGCGTTTCGCTCAAATATTTTTTGACTTTTGCGACATGAGGCCGAGCGTTGTCATGAAGAACACTTTTCAACGTCTCTCGGTTTCAGTTCATAAGGCACCCAATTTCCTTGTTTTTGAATAATTCCTATGTCTTTCAATCGTACGGAAACGGCTTGTTGAGTCACTCCCAATGATTCTGCAAGCTCCTCTTACGTTTGACTCTGATCTTCTTCGAGTAATGCCTCTAATTCTTTGTCCTCGAATTTTTTTGGCTATCCGGAGCAAGGCTTGTTTTCGACGCTGAAATCTCCATCCTTGAAACGTCCCTACATGATTCATCAGTTGGAGCAGCGTCACCATAAACTTCAACAAACATTCGATGGGCTTCAGCCCTTTTCTTCCAATTAAAGCAGAAAATTAAAACCTACTACAAATGCTGCTTGGTTAACACAAAATTCGACATTTTCAACAATGTTTCAACAAAATTCAACAATGTAAAAAGCAAGGTTTTTATATGAAACTCAAAGCTATATAAACTGAATATTATTGATAGATGTCTAACCTGTCATATATGTATTAAACAAGTTTTTATTCGATATAGTTTTTGGTGCAGCCACGCCAAAATTTTTTGTATCAAATATTTTTTATTGCATTGTTATAATAATTAATTTGTTACAATAACAAGTAAAATAACCATATAATTCAGTGTTCTAATAAATAATGATAAATTTTACTTGTAAAAATTTATGTTATGGACATTTTTTATAGATAGGTTTTCTTGAATATTTTGAATAACATAACCTTTAAAAAGATATTTATTTTTAAATATTGGACACCATTAACGAACGTGTTAAATTTTTATAACACGATATAATTTTTACTTTTAAAAGTTTATGTACATATATATCTTACAAAAAAAATAATTTGATAAGTTTTACTTATAAAAACTTATGTTATATACATAATATTTAAAAAGATATTTTTTTTAATATTGGACACTATTAACAAACGTGTTAAATTTTTATAATACGATATAATTTTTACTTTTAAAAGTTTATGTACATATATTATAAAAACTTATGTTATGTACATAATATATATCTTAAAAATGAAAATAATTTGAATTTGAGATTTCTAAAAATATTAAGTTAAGTATACAATAATCATATATATATATTAGGTTTCTCAGTTGGCGCTACTGTTCTAATGTATCCTTTCTTTTGTACAGTAGAAAAGTGTTGCAGAGTTTTATTATAGTTATAAGTTTTACTTGTAAAAACTTATGTACACATATATACAATAAAAAAATAATTTGAGTTTAATACTTCTAAAAATAACATAATACGTGTTGCGCTTGTACTTGGCGCCTTTTTTTACGTTTTTGTTTAAAAAGGTAAGTTTTATATAAGTTTTACTTGTAAAATCTTATGTATGATCTTTAAGTTTTACTTGTAAAAACTTGTTATGTACATATATATACCTTTAAAAAAGAATTGAATTTGAAATTTCTAAATATAACACAATACATGTTGCGCTTGTATCAGTTTTACTTGTAAAAACTTATGTTATATACACATACATACCTTAAAAAAATAATTTGAATTTGAAATTTCTAAAATTTTATATATACGTCACGTACATATATCAATAATATATAAATGTTATTAATTTATACTTACTTGTTAATTATCCAGCTAGATCGCGTAATACCTGCACCACTTATAAATTGTATGAAGCGGTCCTATAATTGAAGGACGATCACCCTGGACGACGAGTCGATAAACACCGGTATTGATTTTTCGATGACATAGCTCATCACATCGTCTGCTCAGCATCAGCTGATCGGCAATCAAATGACGTGCGCCATAACATATTGGGTCTGGGAAAAAGTTCGTGGCGTTTTTTTAGTAAAATTCAACTGGTTTTCTTATAGTGTGAAAATGAATTTATTTAAACCAAATATACTCCATTATTATCGACAATGTTTCGCCATTTTTCGGGTAAAGTCATAATGCTATCGGTGAAGAACATCTGTGGTTTTGGCTTGAAAAACTGAATTAAGTGGTTTTCACAGGCTTCTTTTGAAACCAGCTTAATTCCATTTAGAGAGTTCTGCAGAGATCGGAACAAGTGATAGTCAGAGGGTGCTATGTCTGGACTATACGGTGGATGCATCAAAACTTCCTAACCAAGCTCTCGCAATTTTTGACGGGTCATCAAAGAAGTGTGTGGTCGGGCGTTGTCATGACGGAAGACAACACCTTTCCTATTATTCAATTCGGGCCGTTTTCTTTCAATTGCCTGGCGTAATCTCTCTAGTTGTCCACAGTAGAGTTGAAAATCAATCGTCTGACCAACTGGAAGTAGCTCATGGTGGACGATTCCCTTCCAGTCCCACCACACACACAGCATCACTTTTTTCGGTGTCAATCCTGGCTTCGCGAACGCTTGTGACAGCTCATCATCCCTTGTCCACGATCTTTGACGCTTCCGATTGTCGTACGTGATCCATTTTTCATCACCGGTTATGACACGTTTCAGAAATGGCTCGATTTCATTGCGTTTCAGCAGCGCATCGCAGATGTTAATTCGGTCTATCATGTTTCTCGCGCTCAACTCATGAGGAACCCATACATCGAGCTTCTTTCTGTAGCCAGCTTTGTGTAAATGGTTCAAAACAGTTTTGTGGTCAATGCCTAGCTCCATACCAATATCGACACTGCTGATATGCTTATCTTGCTGGACTCTTTCAAGAATTTCATCAGCTTTTTCAGTGATTGGACAACCAGAGCGTGACTCATCTTTCACATCAAAATTACCAGAACGAAAGCGAGCGAACCATTTCCGCGCAGCAGATTTTAATAAAGTACCTTCACCGTACACAGCACAAATTTTTTCACAAGCCTGCGCGGCGTTCTTCCCTTTGTCGTAATAATATTGCAAAATATAGCGCAATTTTTCATTACTTTTCTCCATTTCCAAACGCAAACAACTTTCCAACTACTACACCAATTTCGATGTTTATACGCCCAAAGTAACGCTCGAAGTGTCATCTTTCCAACGAGCGTTTAGTGGTGTCGCTGCGATCTGTATTTCCTGAGTTATTTGCAATTGACGCCATCTATCGGGAAAAACGCCACGAACTTTTTCCCAGACCCAATATCAACCCATATCAACATTCTCACCTTTTTATGCCTCTCTCTTTCACCCCTCTCGCCCGTTCTCTTTCTCGCCTGTTCCCACCCTCCCTCCCTCCCTCTCTCTCTGTCGCTCTCTCTCTCTCTGTCGCTCTCTCTCTCTCTCTCTCTCTCTCTCGCTCTCGCTCTCGCTCTCGCTCTCGCTCTCGCTCTCGCTCTCGCTCTCGCTCTCGCTCTCGCTCTCGCTCTCGCTCTCGCTCTCGCTCTCGCTCTCTCTCCCGTTCTCTCTCCCGTTCTCTCTCCCGTTCTCTCTCCCGTTCTCTCTCCCGTTCTCTCCCCCGTTCTCTCCCCCGTTCTCTCTCCCGTTCTCTCCCCCGTTCTCTCCCCCGTTCTCTCCCCCGTTCTCTCTCCCATTCTCTCTCCCGTTCTCTCTCCCGTTCTCTCTCCCGTTCTCTCTCCAGTTCTCTCTCCCGTTCTCTCTCCCGTTCTCTCTCCCGTTCTCTCTCCCGTTCTCTCTCCCGTTCTCTCTCCCGTTCTCTCTCCCGTTCTCTCTCCCGTTCTCTCTCCCGTTCTCTCTCCCGTTCTCTCTCCCGTTCGCTCTCCCGTTCTCTCTCCCGTTCTCTCTCCCGTTCTCTCTCCCGTTCTCTCTCTCTCTCTCTCTCTCTCTCTCTCTCTCTCTCTCTCTCTCTCTCTCTCTCTCTTTCTCTCTCACTCTCTCTCTCGCTCTCACTCTCTTTCTCTCTGTCACACATTTTCACTTCCTATATTCTAGCAATATTCTTCTCTCTCTTACTCTCTATCACTTGCTCACTCGCACTCGCTGCTCTTTGCTTCTTCAACGCGCTCGTAACGCCTCTGGTGACGGAAAAACGAGATGCACAAATCCCCTCTCCTTAGCGGTCTAGCGTTTCTTTCTTATACTTTCTTACTGAATCGTAATTTTCCGTAATTTGGACTTTATCTTAAAATATATACACTTGGAGACAACGTCTCCACGTCACAAAAAACACTAGGACACTTTTCTTCCTAATTTTTAAGGCTGAATCGATTGGGACTAAAAAAACGTCAATCGGTTCAGCTATTGTTGAGATATGAATATCTCACCTCGTTTCAATATGTTTTACGAGCGGTAAAAAAAGAAAAATATAATATAAATATAAATAGAAATATATGTTCTTATAAAAGACCACTGGTACTTCGTATATTGCAATAAAAGTAATTGTCTCTTGACAATATTGATAACTATATTGTTAGGTATAATTACACAATAGAGAAAAATTGAAAAATTTAGGTGATATATGTAAAATAATATGTATATAATAATAATATGAATATAACAATATGAAAAATAATAATATGAATGAAATAATAAGAGAGCAATTTAAATGAAATGTATAACATTTGTTATTAATAGTTGTTATCTAAAAAATCAAACAATTTAGGTAAAAATTGTTAGTAACAAATATTATATGTTTTATTTGTGAGATAGATAATTATAGATAATTATGGATGATATATATTTTAAAAAGGTATATATCATTTACAATTATACATAAGAAATAATTGATCTGTTTAATTTCAGATTTTTGACGCAAACGGCGAATTTATGAAGGAAGAAGTTTTGAAGGCGATTGAGGACGTTATCCCTGACGCAAACAAAATGGGACAAGCGCTGACGATGTACAACAACTGCTACGATAGAGGTAATCTATTTGTTTGTAATCTAATGTGTAATAAGTAAGTCTAAAGTAGTTCTGAAATATAATTTTCACAATTACCAAGTTTTCTTTTAATTGCAGTAATACGAGAAGGAGGAACTGACGAAAAGCAGAAGATGAAAATTATCACGTGTATTGTGCTAGTTATGCCTTTTATCGAAACTGATGCCTCTGACATAGAACATACAATACCATAAAAAGTATAGCATTCTTTTTCATACTATACAAATATACTAGTTTTTCTATATTATGAAAAATATTATTTTTATATTTAATATTTTAGAATTCTCTATGTTTTGGGATTCTCTATGTATTTTTATCTATTCTTCTTCTAATCTATTTAAACTATGGTTGAACTATGTTGGATTTTATTCGTAATAACATGATTCAATAAAATATTTAATGAAACTAAATGAATTCCTGATTAAGAAAAAGCAGACAATAATCGTGATAAGTTTATCCCAATGTTGCCCATTAAAGTTTAAGTTATTCAAAAACATGTATAAAACAAATACATCTGAATAAAAAATTATTTACTGCTTACTCTTCATTCGCTGATTTATTTGTAAAATTAAAGAATTTTGAAATTAAGGAGATTAAAGAATTTATAGAATCAAAAAAAAATTAGTTGAATACAAATTTAATGATATTAATTAATATAAATAAGCTTCAATCATTTTTTAAGAATTTAGAGAACTTATTTAAACATAAAATATTTTCATGCTCTTTTGCAGTAACATTTCACCAATAACTTTTGTACACGATGTTCACAAAATGACACATGTGATCAATTGTAAAATATTACAAAAACTTTTCCTTTATTGAAATAATCAAAAAATAACCGAAATATTAATTTAATAAGTAACTCACCTTGTAACTGTATGATATTTATTAACTATATATTATTTTCACGTCAATTTTAAGGCTACTTATTTATTATTAAAATCAAGGGAAGTTATCGGAAGATATTACATATTTGTACATGTATTTTCTTTAATTGAAGTTATTAATATTCTGCACTTTTTTTACAATACGCAGAAGGAAAAGTTTGGAAAATAAATATAGATGGTCTTGGTTCTTATGATTTCCTCTTTCAATTTTTTATCGTAAGACATTTCACGATTTCAAAATAACTACTTTTGCTGCATCATAAAATAGACTTGTAATTGCAATCGCGAATATTTGCGATCATACATGTTGACGCAAGCAGATATACAGTAGCACGTTGTACGTGTAAAGGAGAATTGCATTTAAATACGAGAACGTAGTTTCAATACATCAGTCTAAGCAGACGCTAATACTGCATTACATATTTCTTTACACGTTTTCGTAGAATCCAGAATGAAGACTTTGGTCATCATTGTAGGTATATTAACCATTACGGTAAGTAAAAAATAACAACTAAATCTCTTTTCAAATTTACGAAGTATTTGCTTTGTGATGTTTTAGTATTATTATTCAACGGCAAGATGCACTAAGTACCAGCTGTGCTATAGTTATGCATTAAACATCCAGACTCACATAATTTTTGGACTGCACATAAAATCATTTTTCCCCACGGATTTTACACGTTCGGGAAATCGTTCCACATAGATGCGAACTGCGGCGTACGCATTTTTGCCCACTAGCCCATAGGCAATAATTATATCGTATGTGTGTACTCCTCTGGAGTAAATTTCATTTTTTGTTGCGGAGAAACACGACGCGCATCAAACAATTTTTTACGATTGAAGAGTGTCCGTCGGATACATGCGAATAGCAAGATACAGATAATCCTTTGTTTATGATCGTCGTCTACGACAATGATTTCAAAAGATCCAGACACTCTGTATAAATGAAAAACATTTCAGTATCAAATCAAAGAATTTATTTCTATACCGTTCAAAAACCATTTTAAAAGTATTATTTCTAAAATCATATCTCTACTATAATATTAAAGAACTATAAGTTGTGAATGAAAACAGAAATAAATTACTTTACATGTAAATTAAAATTAAAATTAAAATTTGAGTGATAACAAAATTGAGGTCACTTAAATAACATTTAATGACTCTTAAGATTTAAGTTAATACAGCCATTCGAAAAAAAAATTAAAACGAAAAACGAATACATATTTTTAAACTACAATTTTGTTGTTAATTTGTTGCTTTATTCCTGATTTTGTTGCTCCAGCCATTTTGCCAAAAATCGGTATGTTAAACAATAGCCGGGAACCTATAGGTATGTGCTGGCTACAAGAGAAAAGTACTCGAAAAAAATTTGTTGCTCGCCCAATTTCGGTCTCACTATGTTGTCTGATTTTGTTGCTCTTAAGATATGCCAGTTTCAAATTTGTTGTTAATAATATATGTTTAAACAATATCTGAGAACCTATAGGTGTATGCCGGCTACAAAAGTAAACTACTCGAAAAAAATTTGTTGCTCGCCCAATTTCGGTCTTAATATGTTGTCCGACTTTGTTGCTCTTAAGATATCCCAGTTTCAAATTTGTGGCTAACGATATACATTTAAACAATAGCTGAGAACTTATAAATATGTACTGGCTACAAGAGTAAACTCCTCGAGAAAAATTTGTTGCTTGTGAGCAACAAATTCGAAACTGCGATATCTTAAGAGCAACAAAATCAGTCAACATATTAAGACCGAAATCGGGCGAGCAACAAATGTTTTCAAGTAGTTTACTCTTGTAGCCAGCACACACCTAACATATAAGTTCTCTCTCAGCTATTGTTTAAACATATACCACGAGCAATAAGTTTGAAACTGGGATATCTTAAGAACAACAAAATCAAACAACATATTAAGACCGAAATTGGGCGAGAAATAAATTTTTTTCGAGTAGTTTACTTTTGTAGCCAGCACACACTTATAGGTTCTCGGCTATTGTTTAACCGTTTGAGTCCCAAGCAGCGCGATCGCGCTGTTCAGATTTTATGTCGAGAAAACCCAGTACATTTCGATCATTGTGGACAACTGACGGTGCGTTACCGATTGTCGAAGTCGCGCGCTCAGATTTACTGAAGCAAGTATATCACACCGATCCTTTTAATGTAAATAGTACATTTTATAATAGGTAGAATAATACTATAATAATGCAATAATACATTACAAAATAAAAATTTTTATTTCATTGTTATCTTCTCAATAATTTTTATCGAACAAAACTTGAAATATTTATAAATTTACAGTATGCATATGTAATAATACAGATGTATTTTATAAAATAACGAATTACAAATTAACAATATTTTTGTGTTATGAACAAATAATTTAAATGGAGAGTAACAATTATAATTTGTAACATCGGTGTTTATCAAAACATGTTGGATGGATTCCTTTTGCTTCGTTGCTCCGTTGCTTCGTCTAATCATTTTGAAACACACAATTATTAACAATGAGAAACACTTACGCAAGAATACGTCCGATCGCTTTGCAAACTACAATAAATGTGACAGAGCGATGAGAAAAAGACGAGAATCGCGTTACCTAACAAATACAAGAAGCGGTATTGGTCCGATTGGGATTCATCGATGTAAAATAAACAAAGCGCTATCGCGCTGCTTGGTATTTCTCGACCTAAAATAAAACAAGCGCTATCGCGCTGCTTGGGTCTTTTCATACTCATTTATAGAAAGCGCGGTTACGCTGTTTGGGATTCTTCGACAGTGTTTTTTCAATACCCCCTGGGACTCAAACGGTTAAACATATATTGTGAGCAACAAATGTGAAACTGGGATATCTTAAAAGCAATAAAATCATATAATATACTGAGACCGAAATTGGGCGAGCAACAAAATTTTTTCGAGTACTTTACTTTTGTAGCCAGCATATACCTATAGGTTCCTGACTATTGTTTAACACACCGATTTTTGGCAAAATGGTTGGAGCAACCAAATCAGGCATAAAGCAACAAATTAACAACAAATTTGTAGCTTAAAAATATGTATTCGTTTTTCGTTTTAATTTTTTTTTTCGAATGGCTGTACTAACTTAAATCTTAAGCAAGCACAACTACTGTTTTTTCGAAATGGGTGGAGCAATATAACCAGGAATAGAACAACAACAAATTAGCAATAAAATCGCAGTTTAAAAATATGTATTCGTTTTTTATTGTTTTTTTGGAATGGCTGTGCTAATTTTAATGTTAAGCTAGCATGGCTACTGTTTTCTTCGAAATGGCTGGAGCAACAAAATCGAGAATAGTGCAACAAATTAGCAATGAGAAAGCACTAAATTTCTGTGCTAGTCCCATGCGATTGTGCTGAAATGGCTGTGCCAGCTCAATCGACGTCTGTTTTGGGCTAAATTAATTTTTAATATAATATACATAGACTTCTTTAAACATGTTAACGTTAAAATTATAAAATTAATAATACGTAAATACGTACTTAGTCAACAATATCAATTTTTTATTAATTTTTTATTAAAGTTGATTATTAAAATATTTATATATAATAATTTATTTACTTTTTATAGTCTACGGATACTTTTCCTTATGTATGAGTTTGGATATTTCTCTATAATATATTATTACATTGCGAACAAATAATCGTTAAATTCAGTTGTCATATCGTTAAATTATATGTATGCTCTATCATTTACCGTTTCAAATTTATTTACTGCAGATACTTGAATATTCCAAACGGTATTAATTTTCACATTGTTATTCCATTATACGCATCATATTATACTTTAGCGAAATACAAGTATCAAACGCAAATCGCGTATTTCACTTTTTTCTTCACTTATCACTATTTTAGCAAGACTAACGCCATTCTTAATAACATAAATTAGATGGTAAGGTAAATTTTATATTATTTAGCAAACTATATAATAGCGCGTGCGAATACATGATTGTAATGGTAATAATGATGACAATAATAGTAACGTCTGGATAAAATATATTTGTTCCCAAATTGAATTTCATTACAAACGCATTTAAAATATTTCTGAATCATTTTAATTATTCCAAAACATACACGTGATAAAATGTATTCAAACGAAAGAATTATTTCTTGTTTACGCGTAATTTTATTAAGAATTTATTCAAATTAATTTATTCAAATTTTTACTGTACAGAGTGTCCCAGAACAATCGTACCACAATTTCGTCAGAATGTAGAACAGATTAATCCATTAAGGCCCATGCTTAAACCAGCACAGATATGAAAAAAGTGACTATTGGGTTTCTGGCATGGGTCTTACCAATGATTATTGGTGCTTCAAATTAGTCGAAAACAAATTTTTTTAAACAAATTGTAAACCAATTAAGAAATATTAACTTTTCTGAAAAACTAACCACGCCAATCGATTCTACGGGAAAAATCATCAAAGAAACAAGTATTACATTTTCGATTTCCCGTTTCATTTGTTGTTCAAAAATTACAATCTCTATATGGATGTACTCGC